CCGGTTCCCCCCCCGGCCACTAAAAACCCCAATGGGTTTTTTGTAACGGGGGGTGCACCCCCCCCCCCCCCGCCGCGTTTTTTTTTTTTTTTTTTTTTTTAATTTAATTTTTTTTTTTTTTTTTTTTTTTTTTTTTTTTTTTTTTTTTGTATACCTACCTATCTGGTGTAAAACTTGAAATTTTGGGACTTCAAAGCTTCGGCAAGTGGAGGCCCGAGGACGTTGATGAAAGTTCCCGCAGGACTCCAGGACTTCGGGAACCCCTGTGAATCAGCTCCATGAATGGTGGGGGCTGCCATCTGCCAAACCCCGCAAAGACCCCTCCAGGCCCTGCCAGATGCCCCTCCTCCACTCCAGCATCCACCTCGCTGCTTTCATCATGCCACTTGCGTCCGCGTTGCCATCACTTGCATTTACTATTTGTAACATAATTTAATCCTTTTTCCACAGGCTGCCGAGGTATTGAAACCGAGAGTTGAAACTTGAAGCATATCCGCCAACCAGAAAGTTAGCCTTGGAGGGGAGGGGGGGAATCATTGGAAACATGTTTCACGGCGGGGAATTAAGAATCAAAAAGGTCAGACGAAAATCCTTTGTTCAACACCAACAACACCAAGGATGAAGCGGCCCCAGGGCGACGGATGCCCTGGGATGCCGCATCCAACGGCCCCCGTCCCCTCTCTCTCTGTCAAGGCCCCCTGTTCCATTTCTCTTGGCCTCTCCTCTCTCCCCGTCCGCGAAGTAAAGCAGCACTACAACCCACCTTTAGGCACACCCCACTTGCTGACTCTAGATTCAATTGATAGTTAGACGCCGATTGGGGGGGAAAGAAAAAAAAAAGAAAAGAAGTCGCCGTCGCTCGGTAGATGCCTGGCACAGCACAGACTACCTACGAGATCGAATGTGTCCGCTTACTCCGTGGCTGGCCCTCCAACACTAGCTGTGCCTCTCGCAGACTCTCTTTGCCGTGAGAAGGGAACTTGATTGTGCCACACTCACCATTTTTTTTCGATTTCATCCCCTCTCCCTTTTTCTCGCTTCAGGTCCTTCTTCCTCTTTCCCCTTGCAGGACCAAGAGATATTTTTATCCCCACCCATCAGCAACCGACACACACATCATCCCCAAGGTGTGTTACTCAAAAAAGAGCATTCTCTCTCTCTCTCTCTCTCTCTCTTCCCCCCCTTGCACCGCCATTACACTCGGAAAAAAAATCTGTATAACGGTTTTGGACACCAACTCCCATGTTTTAGCTCGTCTTTATTTTTCAGCCTGGAAGAAGAGGGAGACGCAGGCGGTTATTTGTTCTATCTTTGTCATACACACACACACACACACACACACACACAACACATTGCGCATCCATATAAAGAGTCACCATGAGGATCGCCTGTCTCCAATTCGCACCCCAAGTGGGCCAGGTTTCCAACAACATCTCCAGAGCCGACAAGGTTTTATCAGAAGCCGATCCAAGTGACCTTGAAAACCTGGATTTGCTTGTCCTCCCCGAGATGTCATTCAGTGGTATGTATTACATAATTATCCTCCACGTTTGGTTTACCATCTGACAAATCATCAAAGGATACAATTTCAAGTCACTACAAGACATAATGCCATATCTTGAGCCCTCGGCATCAGGAATCAGTGCAGACTGGGCCCGAACAATGGCCTCCAAATACAGCTGCACCGTTGGCGTGGGATACCCAGAAGTAGAGCAACAAAAAGTTGAAGGACAAGGACAAGAAGAAAAAGCGGCCCCAAAAAACTACAACTCTTTAGTATTTATCGGCAAAGATGGCGAGGTACTAGCCAACTACCGAAAAAGCTTTCTCTATTACACTGATGAGACGTGGGCCCTCGAGGGCAGTGGGTTCTATCAAGGAAAAATGGGTAATTTTGGAAAGGTGGCAATGGGGATTTGTATGGACATCAAGTACGTACCAGGACTAACTCTGCGATCCTCGACTTTCGCTCGTACTAACACCATTTACAGTCCATACAAATTTGAAGCCCCTTACGAAGCTTGCGAATTTGCATGTCACGTTCAAAGGGTTCGCGCGAACCTGGTCATTGTCTCCATGGCGTGGTTGACTTTTGCGGATCGAGAAGCCTTCACAGCAGTGCCGGAAAGACCAGACATTGACACCCTAAACTACTGGATTCATCGACTGAGCCCGATCATCGAAGATAGCAGCAATACTGAGGAAGTAATTGTCGTTTTCGCCAATCGATGCGGAATAGAGGATGAAGTGCTCTATGCGGGCACGAGCACAGTTGTCGGCATCAAGGACGGAGAGGTGAAAGTTTATGGCGTCCTCGGCCGAGGCGAGGAGAAGTTATTAGTAGTGGACACCGAGGAGTCGCCATTCACGCGACTTGTCATCAAGCCGATATATCAAGACGAGGAAGACGGCGCTTCTGATTTGCCATCAGACGAATTTTCAGGAGAAGAAGAGGAGGAGGAGGATAAAGACGACGACCAAAAACGCCGAAGGGACCACGAATCCGCCGAGTCCCCTCCTCCGCCATCAAGCCACAACAACAACAACAAAAAACCAGACTCCAACCCGACCGAGTCGAACGAGCCAACCCTACCAACAAATTATACCTCCGCCGCCCAGTTGCCTACAAAATCTCGACCAAAACTCTCCATCCGTACCGATACCAAGTCCCTCTCTCCTCCCTCATTCAGACACCCACAGATCCACATCGCCATATCGCCCGCATCGACGCCGGACGGCACCCCTTACACCGGACTCGATCAAAATAACAAAGACAATTACATAGTCTCGGCCCTCCCTGTTTCATCACTCTACACGCCCGACGAACCAACCTGGCCATTAGAGTCTGGAGATATCTCTCCCTGGAGTTTTGAGAGCGGCTCGCCGGTATTCGGAAGTGGTTCGCCAGTGTTCGGGAGCAGATCCCCGCTGCCCACTGCTACAGATATTGTAGAAAAAGACTATTTCTCCGAGTGGCTGGTGTCTCCAAGATTATCACCTAGTCCGGAAGGCATGTTTAGACGAGGGAGTCAGATTTGGAGGGTTAGGGATGGCGAGTCCACTACTCTAGGTGGCTTAGAGGGGGAGTGTGAAAGTGAGGGCTATAGATCGTGGAAGAATGATTACGAGGATGGGGGGATCAGTCCGAGGACTGTGGTGGGCAGGCCGGGGACGGGATATACAATGGACTGGAGGCGAGAGAAAACAGAAGCGGAAATAGATAGCGAAACGGAAGAAGACGAAGAAGTAGAAGAAGGGGAAATTAGGATCGGGGCGAGTCCAAGCATTTGGAAGGACTTGATGGATGAAAATGAAGATGTAGAAGGGTATATGGTAAAAGGAGGGATACTATCGTCTCCTCAGGTTTGGTCTTCTTCTCCCGTTGTGGATAAGGGTGAGGATGAGGAGGGGGAGCTGTACGTTGGGAGCTGGCAGGAGGTTAGGAGATGGAACTTGGATAAGGCCGTTTCTGCTTGGTGAGAAGAGGAAAGCTGATGGTCCTGATGATGATGATGATAATGATAATGATGATGCATTTCTCGTATGTACTTTTATTATTATTATTTTCTTGCTTGATACAGGAAATTTGGATATTCCATACACATATTTTTGATACAGGACATCTTTTTCAAACAAACAAATACATACATATCCTTTTATTTTGGAGCCATCCTTGGAAATTTGTTAAAACTTTTAAGAATCTCTGCGCGTTATCTTGAACCCGCTAGACCACTCAAACCAATCAATCTCCCACAACTTTTCAAAACTTGACAAGATGCCAAATTATTAACATGCAAAAAAAAAAAACTATGTACATGTTAAAAAAGCAAAGGAAAGAAAAAATTGTATAAAGAAAAGAAATAATAATAATAATAATAATAATAATAATACAAAAAGCTAGTGACAAAGATACACGATAATAAAAAAAATAACCTTGATATTTTCAAAACGTGTAACTAATCCCCAAATGTGGCCGACATAGAATCACTTTCACGTAATCTAGCAATTCATGAATCTAATTTTTGACGAATTCAATCAATTCACAAAATATAAGTTTGTGGCTCAATGGTCTAGTGGTATGATTCGTGCTTCGGGATCTTTTCTAAAAGTCCCACAGCCTTCCTCAAAAAGGCTGGAAATTGTGCGAGGTCTCGGGTTCGATCCCCGATTGAGCCCTTTTTTGTTTTTGTTTTTGTTTTTTTTAAACCCCTCCTCTTTTTTTTATTTTAAAGACGTTATTCCACTTCTCTATTTCGTGTCGGCTGTATTCTTTTTTAATTTTATTTCGTTCTTTTGGAGTGGATAAGAAGCAACGGTTTTATGGGCAACTTTTGTCTGCACATTCATTGATGATGATTGCATCGGGTGATTGTAAGACTCAAGCCAAGGAGGGATTGCGGAGGGAGTACGAGATGAGAAATTTTGAAATTAGGGGTGTGTGGTTTGGAGAATACATGTAGATCAGACTAAATGCTTCAAGCAACTGACTTGTGAGATGGATGCTTTGAGCATATATAAATATTCAGTAAACATCAGAACACGTCGACGCAATGACAGGTATGCATGTAGATAAGTGGCTTTTTTGATAGAGTAGTTTAATTCGGGCTGAAAATAAGAAGCATTTCATAAAGGAATGTATACACTCTGTCGTCGCATGGCTAATCGTTGCACACACACACTACAGCATTTGACTTCCAGCGCCAAACGACATCCTCGCCTTCTCATTCCCAGCACAGGCTGCGCTCATCATTGCCTGCGCCATGTTCTTGAACAGGTCCATCTTAATCTCTGCCATCAGTTCCTCTTTCAGCTCCTGCTTGAGCTCCTGCTTGACCTCATATCGCATCTCTTCCATCAACTCTTGTCGCAACTCCTTCCAGAGTTCTTCCTGCGTCTCCTCGGTCTTTTCCGCCACTAATTGCTGTGTACCTTCCATGACTTTGTCTTCGAGCTCGATGTGAACACCCGTCAGTTGGTCGTCGATTCTATCGTCGATGTGATTGATGATGTGCTCCACCTCCTCAGAGTCGTACCGGCATGGTGAATGAGCGGCAGACTCCTGGACCGCCTTCTCAAGCTGTTCGATGCGCATTTCGAGTTCGGCGTTGCGCTTGACTACCTGATTGAACGCAAGTAGGATACGCTTGTCAGTTGTGGAGGGAGGCAATGGTTCGCTTGTGCGACGCCGTTTTCGGTCTGACGGAGTGAACAGCTGTACTGGGCTTTGGAGAGGACTCTTTCCGGTATATGGCGGCGGTGACGATTCCTCCACTCTCTGTTCCACCGTCTCCAATATCACAGTGTTGTTGTCATTATTGGAACACGGACTAGGTGCCGTGGCAACATCGCCCAGCCTGACCACCTCGCCGCCAATACCATGATACAGCCTGTCAATATCTGCCCATCTCTCGTCTGTCTTCAGATCGTTAAATAAGAAGACTGACGGGAGCATCGAGAGCTGACATCGAGTCTCCGGCACAAGCTGGAGTATGTTGAGGTAGATGGTGAGATCTCGGATGGAAGCAAGTGCCTTCATGGTGTTCAGCAGACCTTCGGACCGCGCCTTTGGAACCAGCGCACGATCTTTCGGGACTACGAGGCTAGGTGGCTGCGTCATGTTGAAGCGCAGGCAGAGGAACGTGTTGAAAGGCAACCTTTCCGTCTCTGGTACAGGGGGAGCAGTGCTGCCATTATACTCAACGAACTGTGTATTTTCTGGGTAGATCAAGAGATGAAGATTGAGTTTGTTGGGCTTGCCGCCCTTAAGAAATACACATCCGTGCAGCGCAAAGATGGCTTGACCTTCTGAAGCATCGACATGCAAATCTATACGAAGGTCGGGAGTATGTTGCATCTGTCCGTTTAAATCCTCCCACGCCACCACGCTCGTGCGATCGGTCAGATTTATCTTGCAGTGCCTTTCATCATCGTCGTCCAAGTCGTAAATGGAGGGAAAATCGCAGTCATCGCGGTCGTCAAGTCTGTCGGTCAGGTGCTCGTCAATTTTATCGTCGTCGAATTCACCTACCTCCCTCGAGCTACAAGCCCGCAAGCACGGTTAGACACCATGACGCAGTAACGATATCATGATTACAGGTAGAGGATCAAGAAGAAAAAAGTACCGCCGCCCTTGCAAGACGACGCAACTGTTGGCAGGGTTCCTACGAACGGAGGCAGAGATGGGAGAGAGCGCCATGGTCAGCAGCCCCTCTCAGTATCTTGCGGCCTATCGAGAAGCCCCAGTCCTTTCAACAGGCGTACCTGGTGAGTAGGATTTGGCATATTTTTATGGCTCTCGACTCGTAGGACGCGCGCTTCCAGCATGGCGCCCAGGAGGAACGGAACGGCCATGTATCCGTAGATACACGACGCCAGTATTGATGGAAAGTGTAAGGGAGAAAGAGAAAGGAGAGAGATGATGCGTTGCTGGTGATGATGATGCCGCCGCCCTTGCGGGACGACACAAACTGTTGGCGGGGTTCCTACGAACGGAGGCAAAGATGGGAAGAGAGAGCGCCATGGTCAGCAGCCCCTCTCAGTATCTTGCGGCCTATCGAGAAGCCCCAGTCCTTTCAACAGGCGTACCTGGTGAGTAGGATTTGGCATATTTTTATGGCTCTCGACTCGTAGGACGCGCGCTTCCAGCGTGGCGGCCAGGAGGAACGGAACGGTAATCCACGCAGGCATTGCAGCCCAGGCGAAGTCACACCGGTATCATCAAGTCACTGACCCTGGAGTGAAGGGTTGAGTTGATTCATCGTCGATGTCGTCGTTTTGCATAGCGCCGATGATGAGTCAAGAGATTGTGAGGTTAGTTTTGATGAAAAAGGGTTGTTGTTTTTGATGAAAAGGTGGCTGAGGGTTGCTGGTTGATGAGGGAGTTTGATTGATGAGAAGAAATGACGGAAGCAGAAATGAAAGAGGAGAAGCGTGGAACCTGGGGGGAGCCCAAGCTTTTTGTGTATGCACGGACCACTATGAGGGTTTTCGAGGATTGGCTGGCCGAGACCCACATGTAGCTCTGTTCTTATGCAACAAGCCAGCGTGCAAGGATTATCAGCCCAACGTGCAGTTTGCTGCCAACTCTGTTAGCCAAGTCTCGCGAAACGTGAAAGCATTCACCACCTGACAATCAAAGTGAACACCATTTCCATCGCCAAGACGGCCGAACTGGTCCGGTTAGTTACCTAATACACGTGCTACCCTCCGTCCCCCTCCAGCCTTCTTGTCATCAATCATTGCAACTGCAGTCCAAATGTTTGACACAAGCAATTGCGATATTGAAATTGCAATATTGAGCGTGCATCGAGTAATTAAAAACCCGGAACACTTGAAGTAATAATTGATAATTCCCATGTATTTAATGTTACCTCTATTGATCTTTTCCCAAACCCATCTATGCTCTCCCCTCTCTGAATCCAAATTTGGTAAATATACATATATGAGACAAATGACGTCAAAAATCCTCCTTGCCCGATACATACTCCTATGCGCGCTCTCATGCTCCATGCTGTCTAATCCATCTATCTCATGTTCTTGTCCATCCCAATGTATCTCCAGAATCTCCATACAAGTTATAGATACAAACAAAGGAAAAAAGTAAAAAAAGGAAAGAAAAAAATCTAGCTAGACTCTGTTCTTCGTCTCTAATCATCTCTCCCATATGTGCAAACCTTTTCATAATACATGATAATAATACAAAGAAAAAAAAGAAAAGAGTTTTCATAACATCATGTTCACCCACTCACAGACGTTGGTGTCCCTCCCCTGCTCCCTCCCAAACTGGAACCGCTAGAGCTCCTAGGTCTCCAACCGCTAACCATAGCGCTCGCACCCTTCCCCCACCATCCCCATCCCCTCTTTGGGCTCGGCAGGCCTTTCATCCTTCCTCCCTCGATACCTTTCATCGAGATCCTTCCCCTCTCGTTACTTGTTGTCGTCGGAGGCGGGGGGAATTCTCCAGTTCCCATAGGCGGCGTGAGCAAGCCCCCATTGAATCTTTCTTGTTGTTGCTGTCCCAGCGGCGGGGAGCCCAGACTGGTACTAGACGACAAGAGTGGTGCGCTTTTCGGCGTCTTTGGCGTCCTGGTGTCCGCCTCGGGGCTGCTTGATGGCCGAAAGGCGGAGGGGGCGGCGGCGGCGGCGGCGGCCGTGGCGGGGTTCGACGCTTCCTCTTGCAGCACAATCTTTGGTGGGGTCGACGGCAGGGGCGCGGACCCGAGCCCTCGCGCGCGACTCTCCCGGGCCGAATCAGTGACGGGATCCAAGCTCAGCGGCGCCGACCTCGGCGGGTTACTGTTGTTGGCTTTGGTGTTGGGAAGCCGTGACGTGTTGATACTTTTGGAAAGATTCAAGGGCCCCGGTCTCGCTGCCGACGGCGCCGAAGTTAAAGACGGAGTAGCAGCGCCATGGGAAGGCGGTTTAGGAAAGAGGCTAAAGGTAGGGTTTGTTGATCTTCTCCTGTGCGATGGGGCGGGAGATACCTTGGGGACGGTAGGGAGGGGAGCCGCGGGCGGTGGACCAGGCTTCCATGGATCACCGGTGGGCGTGATGTATGCGCCTCTTCTGCGGGGGGACATGCGTTTCGATGGTTGCCGGCGGGGTGGGGGAGTGAAAAAGGAGGATTGATGACGGGGAGCGTTTGGAGAGGTATAAGACGAGATGGGAGGGGGAGGGGGAGGGGGAGGGGACGTTGGCAGTGGTGGGATACAAGAACCGACGGGGGTGGCCGGGAGTTCTGGGAGGAAGGAACCCTTTGAGCGACGGTCAAGTTCGTGTGTGTAGTAGAAGCGGAGGGCGAAGATTGTGTCTACGCTTCGGCGGTCGCGGGGGGAAGAGGATAGATGGAAGATGTTATCTGAGTTGCCGTTGGCGGACATGTGGCTGCAGCTTTTGTTATTACTCTCGGAGCAGCTGAGGTTACCGTTTCCAGTGCTCAATTCTTGTCGAGGAGCGGCAAAGGTATATTCGTTTTCTTGATGCTGTTCGTTTGCGTAATTTGTAAGATCCAGGAGACCTTGTGTTGATAGAGATGAATCACTTGATGGCGTTGGGGAGTGGGAGGGTGGCGAATTTGGACGGTTGGCCGGCACAGTTTGGTATTCTCCTGGATAGGAAAACATCCTGATTGGCCTTCGCTTTTGCTTTTTTGAGTTGCCTTTTCGATGGCAGGTGAT